CCCTACTACAATACAATCATTCAGAACTTTAGTCTATGAATTCAAAAAGGTGTCAGATCTGCCTCAGGTGTGATGCCCTGACGGGGGATTCACTACGGGCCATAGTTTATATGCTTGGAAGGGCTCAAAACTTGTAATGTTATTCATTTGGTAGTCAGTAAAAACAATAGGGAGGCTTCTCTGTTTACTCGGAAGGTCCGAAAGAGCTAGAGAGTTTTCCTCAGTTTCATTGAGGCGAAAACCATAAAGTTTAACTGGGCCATGCGAGAAGGCGATGGTCTGTGAAAACCGTTCTCACGTTGCAGCGATCAACACTGAAGAATGTTCTTTTTTGGCATAAAAACGTTCGAAAATATCGCTTGCACAGTATTTGTCACAATTGTAGCGATTACAGCAACCGTCACATATCTTGCTGCAATGAAAACTAGCGTAATCTGCAATTAGAACGCGTTTACTGGCGCCTTAACAGTTATAGTTCCACTCAGCTTATAATGACCATTCCATAAATACCAGTAGAATAGATAATTTTTGTAACAGAAAGGGATGGATTACGATAATAAGTACGCACCTGCGGATGACCAATGAAGCATGAAATAGAGATTGTTAGACGATGAACTACTGCGTACCCGCTAAATCTATGATCACTTACATTTTCAGCTTATCTGTACATTTGCATTATTCGCTGCCTTACTAATCCCGAATCTTTGTGTGGCATTTCTTGTCTCTGTAGCTTTCGCTCTATTATCTGTCATACTAAGAACGCAATGGTAAGTATGATAGAACGTTACTTTCTTAATAAGCTTTCTCATTTCAGGACAAAATGTGATGTTATGGTACGGGTAGCTGATAATTATTTCGGGGAAGAAAACAGGTATATCATATTAATCTTTTGGGACACGCTCGTCTCCACTGTCTCTCTGCTATGATTAGGTACGAAGGAGAATGCCCGGACTCTCCTTTCTACATTTTGCGCATAAATACTCCGCTCATATTTTTGAATTGCGAAGCTGTTCGAGAAGCTATACGAGCACAAGCGGTGGCTGTGAAAAGGTAAGATTTCCAGCGATTGCTACAGAATTATTCTGTGTGATACCTATACATAATCTTATGGCATCCTACAAATGGTTGAGCAAATGCAATGTGCATAATAATAACGTTTTTATAGCGTTTCTTTCTAAATCATTCTCGATCAAGTTGTTATTGAGATGCAAAAAAGGGCACATATAGGATTGATGCCGAGCTGCTTCAAAAGAGTGGTAAGAGGGCAAAGAGGCCCGTCACGAGTTCTTGTAGCAGAGCGTGAAACCGTGGACTCTGTGTCTGCACACTTTGCGCTGCACCGCCACTCTTACTTGTAACTGCTCAGTAAAGTTTTCTCCTCGTAAGAAATTGTAGGAAGTGTGTCCTATCAATCAATATATATCTAATGAAATCCCAGGAAGGAATTATTGGAATGAGCAGCTATGATCTTGCATCTTCGTCAAGTAACATGCAAGGTGTGCAGTTCGCATATCAAGTTATAAATGACTCGAATATATGGACGCTTATCTAGTGACTGTTTGATCCTGATTACTGTATGCAGAAGGGTAATCCCAAACTCTTTAAAAACTCAAACTTCTAAAATGGGACGATGTCTGTCTCTAACATCGCTTGAGTCACCTATTGCAACTACTACTGACTTTATCCTCAAAGAGATGAAGTGATATGTTGATTAGTAAACAGGTCTGTTTATCTGCAACTCTTCTGTGAATTTTTCAACTTCGCGCCCCTTCCCACACAGGCTTAAGTGCTTGCCAGCGCATGTCAAAGTTAGTTTTCTAGGGTTTTACTTGTTCGATAGTTTTCGTCGGAATATGTATCCTATTTTCCGGCATATAAGCCGCAATCATTTTCGTCGCGCGCGGGCTAATTCATAAAAGAACAATGAAAACCATTTGACAACAATATTCTACTTACAGTTTGGCCTGCTGCATCTG